ACACACACACACACACACACACACACACACACACACACACACACACACACACACACACACACACACACACACAACACACCCTCTCTCACACAACACACTCACACACACACAACACACTCTCTCTCACACACACACACACACACACACACACACACACATAAACACACTCACATATAATATATAAGGAAAAAAACCCAACTTATCTCAGGCGCCTCACACCCCCTTTCCACGCAAATGTTACCGTCTATCAGAAGGCTATTGTCAGAATAAGCATCTATGTGTATTGCTCTTTCGAGTATGTATCTATATAACTCTAAAGGTCTTGTAATTAAATTACTGTATGTGGTTGAATGATACATCTGATGTGATATGTAGATTTTGTCAGCTTTACTTCTCTTTTCATATTTAATTTTGATGAGAGTAATAGGCCCTATATAATAAACATTTTTATGAATACCTGGATGTGTTTTTACGATCCTGTACGGCCAAGAAAAATATCCCCGTGGGATAATAAAGTATCATCTTATCTTATCTTATCTCATCTTATATCTTATATTATCTTATCTTGCCTTATCTTATCTTATCTTATTTTATCCCCCACAGATCTCTAACCGGAAGCTGACCCGTGTGGGCGTGGCAGTGGCAGGATGTATGAGCCTACTAGTGGTCTACCTAGCATACCACGACTTCCTGGCCAGGCCCAATGGGTCAGAGTTCGAACCCCGTCGCCTGGAGGGTCGGCCGGACTACATTGTGCACCAGGCCGCCCCGCGCATACAGGCCGACGCCCCGCCACACACTCACTACGGACACATCGATGTACACACACCCGCTCTGCTGGGCGACCGGCGAGAGGGGCGACCTCTAGAGAGGAAGCCAGACGTCTTCTCTAGCTCTCCCGGCCCGCCGGCTCCTCAGTGGAGGGAGCCAGTGGAGAAGGAGGAGGGGGAAGAGGAGGAGGAGGAAGAGGATGATCCGTGGCCTGATGAGGATGAGGACTGGAAGACAGAGGATGAAGATGAAGACACAGACGTGGGGGAGGAGGATGACCACACAGATGTGCCTGAGGAAGAGGAGGGAGAAGATGATGAAGAGGGAGAAGATAATGAGGAGGGGGAGACTGAAGCCGGTGACAGCTGGCCGGATATGGCGGCTTTCGCGGACAGAGAGATGGCCGGTCCTGTGGCGGAGGTAGAGAAAGGTCCCTCGCTGAAACATGTAGGTCACGGCTCTATGGCGGGGCGTGGGTCTGAGGTCACCACGTCACTCCCACGTCTAGGCAAGCCCAAAGATGTAGGTCACGCCTCTGTGGCGGGACACATTCCTGAGATGGCCCCGCCAGTCCCTCGCCTTGGCAAGCCGAAAGATGTCCCAAACGTGGCGGTGCCGCAGCAGAAGAACAAAGTGTCCTCTCCGCGGGCGGGAAACAGCAAGACTCCAGCCGTCAAGTCAGAGGTCAAGTCCACTGTCAAACCCCGAGCCAACAGCACGGCGGGGTCAAAGACTGTCGGGAAAGTGTCCCCAGCCAAAACCTCCGAGGTGAAGAAACCACCACCACCATTACCACAACAACAACAACAGCAGCAACAGAAGCCCAAAGCAATACCCGTCAAGCCGGAAGGTCTGCTGCCGCCACGCCTCAACAAGACGTCTGCTCACGCGAGTGCGGACAGGAAGTATCTGGTCTACGTGTGCGATGACATCAGCTGGTGCGGGGGCTGGGGCGACCGGCAGCGGGGGATGGTGGGGATGTACCTCCTGGCGCGTCTGGTGGACCGGGAGCTGAGGATTGTGATGAGCACACCGTGCAGCATCTCGCAGTTCTACCGACCGCACCTCGTCAACTGGATCCCCCAGGGCGACGAACTCAAGTCCAGCTCCCACCTCGCCATCAACACATTCACGGTTCAGAACTTCAAACTAGAACTCGTGGACGGAGATTTCAATAAAAAATTCCCCCAGAAAGTTTTGTACTTAAAAAGTAATCAAGATTTCTACACCAGATTAAGAAAGAACAAACTTTACGCCGGGAAGTTGAAACGCTGGTCTGGCCTGACCTCCAAGAAAGGTCGCTTCCGGTGGGCGTGGAGTGAGTTGATGCAGCCGACCCCGCCTCTCTTACGAAGGCTGGAGAGAGTTCTGGGCTCTGAGATCCTCATCCGTCAAGGGATCCTGTCCCATTCTCTGCTCAACGCTACGGAGCGCGCTCACCCCGCTCCCTCCCAGGTGGGCAATGCCAGCCTCATCTGTGCTCACGTGCGCGTGGGGAAGAACCCGACTATCCCCATGGACGAAGACTTCGACACGTTCAGTCTGGACGACCTTCCCACTCTGAGGAACTTCCTGCAGTCCAAGGACGTACGGGGAGACGCTCGATTCTTCGTAGCCACAGACTACGACTTTGTACGACAGCAGTTCCAAACGTTTTTCGGCACCAAATTGGTGGAATATGGCGGGAAAATCATGCACATTGACCGCCAGCGAAATCAGGCTGACGCGTGCGGGGGTTTTGAAGTTGCTCTGCTGGACCAGCTGATTCTGAGTATGTGCGACGTCCTTGTGGTCAGCCGCAGCGGGTTCAGCATCCACGCTTCACACGTCAGCAACAGCACCAGCCCTGTCTACGTGCTGGAGGGAGGGAATATCTCCAGGCTGGTGCCCTGAGGTGGAGAGGGAGGGGGGAGAGGGGAGGAGGAGATAAGGGGTAAGATCTCTAACCTGGGGTATTGTGAGTTTTGGAACCGTCCAGGGTCATCTCACGTGTTTGGTCTTCAGTCACCACACCTCTCCTCCTCTCCCCCACCCTCTAAACAAAATCAAAGTTACCATATACAGGTTAGAGAACGCTGCTCGACGAAAGGCAAGGTTTAAAGGGCCTGCCACAAAGACACCTGCTGTCTTCTTGCTGAATCAGAAATGAGCGAAGAGAGACAAGGTCTCTAGGGACGAATGTACTTGCCGTATCGAATCAGAAGAAACCAGAGTTATGTGAAGTTGGACCAAAGTAAGTGTTAGAGTTAAAAACCTATAGAGCAATCTCTCTGTTAATTTCTGTTAACGAAGTGGGAAAACTGTTGGTAAATGTGATGGAAAAAAAATTGAGCACAAACCCCTAGGTAAATGAAGTGGAAAAAACTTCGGAAAATTAGCGATCTTAAATTAAGATGGAAAATTCGAAGAGAAATCCCTTGGAAAATGAAGTGGGGAAAACTGTTGGTAAACGAAGTGAGGAAAAATGGAGAGAAACCTTTCGATAAATTTTATTGTAGTTGGAAAACACCTGTCTTATTTCAAATACACGGGGAACAAAATAACAAAGGCCGTTGTCTGGGGCAGATGGAGGCTGCACCGCAGACACACTGACACTTGTGATGAGGGTGAGTGGATAGGTGGATGTTTGGGTGAGTGGATAGGTGGATGTTTGGGTGAGAGGATAGGTGGATGTTTGGGTGAGAGGATAGGTGGATGTTTGGGTGAGAGGATAGGTGGATGTTTGGGTGAGAGGATAGGTGGATGTGTCCCGCACTATTGACCGATCGGCGCCGCGCGTTTTAACGATGATATAATTGCGCGGCAATCTTAAGATTGCGCTGCATGTTTTAACGATTATTTTAATTTTCATATTTTTACACTTTTGAAAATATGTGTGAATGTTTCTTGATGTGAATAAAAGAATAAAGATGGAAGTGAATTTTTTTACAAAATTATTTCAAAAACATAGAATAAGTTAAATGTACTTTGTGGACTTTGATTTTGATACCTGGCATTGTATCATTCTTGTGAGCTGTTCAGTTTCATTCGTTAATTTTAATTTTGATTTTAATTATCATATTTTTACACTTTTGAAAATATGTGAATATTCCTTGATGTAAGTAAAAGAATAAAGATGGACGTGAATTTATTTTTTTTTATATTAAAAAATTATAAGATATTAACGCAATCTTAAGATTGCCGTGCAATTATACGATTGTTAGAACTGGCTGCGCCGATCGGTAAATATCGCGGAACAGATGTATTGAGGAATGGATGAGATAGATAGAGAATGAGTGCAGGATCAAATGGATGGAAGATGAGTAGAGGGGAGGAGGTCCGAGGAGTTGGACATAGTATCAATCATCAAGCACTGGTCCATTGGGTGCATCAAGCACTGGTCCATTGGGTGCATCAAGCACTGGTCCATTGGGTGCATCAAGCACTGGTCCATTGGGTGCATCAAGCGCTGGTCCATTGGGTGCATCAAGCGCTGGTCCATTGGGTGCATCAAGCGCTGGTCCATTGGGTGCATCAAGC